TTATACGAATTGTAACTAGACTAATAAGTCTGATGCCTAATAAAAAACGTAATATTACTGAATATCAACAATTAACAACCGTAACATACACTGGTAATATATGAGAATATATAAAGACAAAAACTACAATCCTATAAGTTTTGAAATACGATGTATTAGTTTTTCATTTATTAAGACTAAGTTATATTACAATGGATATTATAAGACGAAGAAAAAGATTTTAATTGTTTGATGAAACTTTTAACAACTATTGGCATACAGATAAAAAATTATGAAAATACTTTTGAGCCCCATTAGGAACTAACTTTTCAGCTTGTTCCCAACAAAGAGCACGACTCGAAGTTCAAATGTTTGCATTGAGTTTGTAAAGGAAAACTTGTGCTGTTTTCAACAATTGCATATGTCAAAGTTTCCTGCAATACTCTAAACTTTGTGTGCCAGTGTACACGTAAAAATAAACGTCTGTATTTCCAAACGCATGTATAATGGTTAAGCTTTTCAATTTTAAAAACTGCATTTAATGTGGTATTACTACAATTAACAAATTAACTTATTGGTTTTATTTTTTTAGAATCCAGTTTTGTTCTGGGTTCCCTTTTAGATTTGTTTTTGTATGAAATAAAAGTTCTCCCTTTGTTATGTAATATCTGTTTGTTCCGGTAAAACGCAAAAAACTACTGAGCAAGAAAACACTATGGCACTGTGTCAATGAATACACAAAATAGTTTGTGTATTCATTGACTGTGTGTATATCATTAACCCAGACAATAAATAAACCTTAACACTTGCTTAAAGTACTCTAGATTTTTCCCCGTGGACGTCTTAAGTATGGTTGTTAAAGTTTTGAGGTGGTCGTTTGATTTTAAAAATTGAAATGTTTCCATAACAACAAAAAGTAAATCTCAATACTTACATTAACTCTGTTAAGCATTTAGTTAGTTCCTGAAAATGTCGATAAAGTTATTAGTATTCGCGAATTTCTCCATAGGGAAGTAGCTATTACCGTAGGAGGCACGGTAAGACCTAGGCCCGGGACCGAAAATCTGCCCTCCATATATTACACTTCAAATTTCCATGTTAACGTCGTGGCCAAGTTATAGAAGAAAATACCTCCGCTGCAGCAAACCTGCCGACTAAGCGAATTTCCATTTGCCTGGATTGATTTTCAATTAATCTATTCAATTAACATTTATGTAACAAGTACCTAGGTTAGCTGCTGCTACAGGGAAACTAATAAAGTGTGTTTTTCTTTAAAAAATCTGCTTTAGAAGTGGTCACAATCAGTGCAGTTAATTTTGTTTATGTCAGATTTGTCGTAGATGTCTTGATGTTCTTTATTTGTAGTAATGTTATTTGTTATCATATTGAAAGCGGTATTTTTTGTTTTAAAGCCAATTTTGTAATCATCACTAGTGCACGAGGTAAATTACCGATGTCGGGTACGGAAACCTTTTATCGAACTAGAGAGGACAACTCTAACACACCCAAAAGGTTAAACAATATTTAGTACATTAGTACAACGGATATTAGAACAGAAGCAACCCCTCTATGCGATGATCTTTCAACTATTTTCTATTTCAAAATGAAAATGTTACAACCGGTCCAATAAGTGAGGTACTACTTCAGGTACCAAAAGTCTTAATTAGGCTTACTCTGTAAATATATTCTGGCCTATTAAATATATATTAGAATTCTATTTAAAATAAGAATGAACTCTGCAATCAATTGATCCAACTGTACTCTGCTCACATTGACATGAGATACATTTGTTGACATTAGTGTCTACGGTGAAAGGCCTATGAACTCTACAAAACAAAACAATGATACAGAGATAGGCTGACCACGTGCATTCGGCGTGATCGAAAACAAACATTCCAAAATCCACCTTAAACCATTCGTTGTACTACAGAGTCAAAACAAAACTATGTTTGGGTAAATTTGAAAAGGTTTACAATCAAAACATTTAATTTTTAAATGCAAGTAGACCTCTCGCGCTGTTGATAAATTTGAAGACTTATGGGGATTCGTGCTAGTGTCGTTTGCCTCATCTCGAATAAATTTAGGTGATCGGTGGCTCAGTCGTGGTAGGTTACGTACTTCAGGCCCAAGGCATCGATGTCGCGGGTTCGGATCCTGGTCACTGCCATACAAATTTTATCAATACAGTTCACCTTCATACTGTACTGGCTCACCCCTTTCTTTGCTGGATACGTTCTAGCAAGTCGCATCTCGTATCTTGAAATTCTCTATGTGGACGGGCAAATGCAATGTTAAAAGAGGCCACCAACCTCTTAAAAAATTGATTTTTGTTACTTTAGGGTGGATTTGTACTTTACTTTTTGTTTATACAGTAATGGACAATCAACAGGTTGTAAATAGTGTCATAATTAAATAGGCCTAAACTAGGTTAAACAAGGAACACATCAACAGTAAAATATACTCTATACTCTCTACTACATAAATAAGATGGGACTAACAAATTAATTATGTCACTGAGTTGCACGCTGTAGATTGTAGATGTTACGTGAATTGAAACTAAAACATAAACTCGAAAGAAAGTTCGCAGTTCGAAAGTTATAATTTCTTTTAAAGTTCTTTTTTGTTCAGAATAATAATAATCCGGCATGCGAAACAAACAACAGTCGCATTAAAGAACTTGTTTGTCAGCTGATTGTTGTCGACATCTTCCTTATTTGGCAAAGTTAACGCAACCAAGTAGTGACGATTACACCAGCTAATAAAACAGTTAAGAAGTTTATCGCTTTGATCACGCGAATCAAAACAAAAATTGCGTAGGCCTATATCAATTTTGGTTATTTTGTTTAGTTATTTTCGAATTTTAAGCGAATAATTTTTTACTATCCTACTTTATGGGCGTGACTGTTCTAGTGGTTATAAACTTGAAACTTCGATCCTGAAGTTTAGGGTTCAAATCCTTTCAATCACTAAAAGCTTACTATTTGCCATCATTTCTATTTGTTTCTATTTTATTTCTATTTGACACCATTAATAATTGTGTGCTCTTGTAACTTTCTTATTTATACAGTTACTTTTTCATCATGTCAAACTAAAATGGCGTATTGAAAACTTGGTATGGTGTATCTTTTCGGCTTTGTTAACTATCGTAGTATACAAGCTAAGAAAGTTGTGATTCACGTTGTCCAAAAATAGTTACAGCTTTTGTAAAAAGTAAGTCAAATGCAGTAAATTTATATAAAATAATTTATTTTACTCATAGCATAGATTAAAAGAAGTAGACACTACTTCTTTTAATCTATGCTCAGAGCTATCAAATCAAACGAGGTTTACAACACTTATCTAGGAAATGTTTTAAACTTAATGTCCCAAAACACTCTTTGTAAACATTTAAAGGTATTGCACTGTCCTTGCTCTAAGTAGCCTTTAAGTTTGTGTGTTATCCGAAGACATCTTATGTCAAGGTCAAGTCAGTAACAAAGCTACACAACGCATCTCTACACTCCACACTCATCCTCCATTGATACTTGGGTTTAAATACGCGTTAGTAGGGTAAACATTTTGATAGATAATATAAAATAATAGATAATTTAAAATAGGTCAAGGACACCTCTATTTTGTGTGGTATATTAATTACAACGCTAGCATTGGGCGGTATGGCTATTATATAGTTAGCAGACTGGAACACAACTCAGGTAAGGAAGATGGACGATCCGTTACTCGATTACGTAACCAATCCTGCCTGGCTCATTGATTAGGTCCTGCACCAGTGCACTCTATGACTATATGAGTGCATTTTAACCTCCCATTTATCTGTATTGCCATTGCTTTTGACTAGTGCAAGTAGACTTCTCATCCTATTGTAAACTCTAAAGCCTGTTTTATTTATGTTTCTCCTCGGCAACATTTGAGTGCGCTGTTGCCGATTACGTTTCCCTCTTGGTGGAGTAGATTTACATAGTTTTCCTCCTAAAGGGAAGCGAAATTATTTAAGCAGATACACATTCTTATGGAATTCATAAGTTTTTATAATTTTAAAACTCACCTTAGTCTTGTTATAATCACATGTACTCCTAAAATAATGAAATAGCAAAACATCAGATGCCTTTTAAACAAACCTTTTAACCTCATAACCTTTTAAAACAACGTCATAACCTTTTAAAACAAAACATTGTGTTTTACCAGATTCTGGTAAAACACAATGTTTTGTTTTAAAAGGTTATGACGTCAAAGAGGTAAACATAAATATTTAATTCATGCGAATGGGCCAGTTAAATATTTTTAAAGGTTAAAGGGACTGTTATAACAGCATATAAACATTATTTTACTGGGTTCTGGAAGGGTTTCTTAGAACAGTTTTCGCTTCTTATTCGGCAAACAGATGTAATCCCAAAGCACTAGATGCTGAAACAGCCCAAATCCTTGCTAAGAGCGAAAGAGAACAACATACTTCTTGTCTCGAAACATTATTTTAAGGCTTTATACCTAGATCCTTACGAAATGTAGTTTTTGTAAGTCTTGAAAAACAGTAACCACTCCCTTGTCACTAACTTATACTTTGTGACATCGTAGTCTGAGTTTTGAGATAGGCAGGTCGTTGACGGTGATATAGATTTTGTCTATAAAAAAACACTCAATCATGTGAACAACTTGATCACAGTTTGACAGTTCAATGTATTTACCTAAGGTATATTTAATAATAGTTGGTTCCTTGAAATTAGGCTACATCTTGAAGTTATGCTTACACGGATAACGTATACTATCGAATCTTGGCCCTGGAAATATGACCGTATAGTTAAATTTGCAAAATTCCCACAACCATTCTATAGACTCGCAACTGCGGTTCTCTAGTTATGGTAGGGCTCCGAAGGTTTTCACTCATCCGGAACGTGAAGACGTTCAGGATCTTTCAACAATACAGTGAATTGGTCATCTAAAGGATAAGGTTCAGCAGTTTACATCAACCTCTACTCATATATAACTGATAGAAATGATCTACGTTCTTAGTCAAATTATTCACCAACCTGATACTTTCGGGTATCGCAGCTTGAACTTGGAGATGCTGAGGTCCAGTTCGCTCCTGATCTGAAACTCCACCGGGCCCTCGAGGGTAGCGAACACCACACCCCCGGCCACCAGGTACACGATGTAACCGAGCACGAAACACCCCAGCAGCACGGTGCTGCGGCGGAGCCCGAGCACCCGTCGTAGTCGCGCCCTTTTCCACCGGTCCATGTATCATGGCGAGAGAACCGACACTGAGGTGAGGTTATGTTATGTAACCATTAGTTGTGACCGCCACCACCAGAGCGCTACGAACTGGTTCTGAAATTATCAGCTGTTTGGTGTTTTGTTTGATTGTGGCACAGAATATAGATACCTAAAAGTTGAGCTATCTAGAGTGTTTGAAGTTGTTGAAATTTATTTTTTGGAAAGAATAATTTTAATTCAGTTAAAAATATTATGATGATCAATTTCCCTGTATGCCTGATAATAAAACACTATTAATTTGGTTGGAAAACATTAAAATGTTTTAGTAAATATCCTAAAAATATTTGGTTTTTAAAATGTAATTTTATTTATTAATACAAATATTTACATTAGTGAGGCTTCTACGGTCATACTTAAATTCAATAACGTGGTTATATTTATAGGTAACTTGAGCCAGACCCAAATGAGTTGCGGGAAGTGTACTGCTGAAGGTGGAGGTACACTTACATACTTGATACTTACTTGATACTTGTGTCCTTAATCCTTGACCGACAATGTCGGATAGATTGCGTCAGTGGCATATTAACATACTATTTACACGTTATTTAAAAACTAATATTTACAAACTTCTTGCATAAAATACACTTTAGAAAAATATATATATATATTTTTTTTTTTTGCTGTGGCGATTGTACTCCTAACCTACTGGAGTGCTGTTTTCAACTAACTTTTAGTGGCACCTCCTTCAATTCCTCTAATGAGTAGAGGGGTCTATTTACCAGTTGGCCGTGCAGTACTGCCTTGAACTTCGCACTGTCCAACTCTCTCACTTCTTTTGGCAGCGTATTAAAGATCTTAATAGCTGAGCGAGGGTAGCTCTTGATGGAGTGGCTAAGCCTACACCGCGGCAGATCAAGGTCTTAGGCCTTACGAGTGTTATGGCTATGCTGGTTTTCCCTCAATTCAAAAACGGTGAAGGTTTTATTTCAGGAGTAGCAGGCTGCTTAGGACATACATAAACGATCACTAGGTTTTAATGACTCAATTCACTTTGAGTTTGCGTCTTCACTCCGACGTGAGGTTACAGAAAGCTATTAGCATGTAACTTGTGAATAGTGGTTATGATACGTGTACTAAGTCCTTAAAAAATACTGCGAAACGTCTAATAGCTGCCTGGGAAGACGCAGCTGTGTTGAGGAAACATTGGCAGGATTGATGGAGTTGAACATATTTGTTCATCGATTACCCGTTGAGTCTTACATTGCCAGCTACAGTGAGAGAACGTTTCATGGAATGTTATTCTGGGAACACAACGTGTTTCGTAAATGTTTATTTGAATTTTCACATGTAAGTTAAAATTAGCAGTGATTGTTTTGTGTGCGCACGAGTGTTCATTAAGTGATTACATACCCTAAAGTATATTTATGTGCATATATATATGTTTTGTAGATATGATCAATCACATCTACACATTTCTTTGTCCGACCACTGCATGGGATTTGTCACAAAAAATGCCTTTGGTATTTTTTACCTTTTAAGGGAATCCTTTTTATTTAATTAACTTAAACAGAAGTAAACTTTTACTCCATGCATCTTGGTTCAAGCCAGCAACATCCAGATTTGAAGGATGAGCATTATAACCAGCTACCAAAACAATATATCTCCATTTCCTCTATGATATTACCCAGATAAGATTGGTACCAGCTTGGTTTATATTATTTTACCAACGTTAACATGCATGTCATAGCATGTACTATTTTCCATTTTAATATAAATTGCTTGTCCATGTATGTATGTTGACCACTCTAATAACACGTAGGGTAATGTATTGCAATATTTTTTAATCAAAGACTAGTCTTAAAAATTATAACGTTTGTCAATACAGTACCCTATTAGATGTTTCTAAATGTCGCTTTAAAATGTAGACTTTGAAACAACTGTTTGTTTTGTTGTGAATTGAACTTACTGAAATAACTATTTGATAGAAAAATAAATATTAAATGAAAAACACTGTGATGTGTACAAAAATGTGTTTTGAAATTACTGAAAACTTTTTACAAAATTAATAATGAATATAACATGTGTTAATAACATCTGTTAAACAAAGTACAAGAGAAAAAAAACCATTTACAGACCAAGGAATAAAATTTACTGGTTTAACAACAACCACTTATCATTTATAATTCTTTTATAGCTCTCCGCCACTTGTTTTGTTTACACAGTAACTATTACTCATAAATTTAATGAGTTTTATACCAAAGTATTCATAACACATTAAAATGAATGTGAAATAAAAATTTAAAAATAAAAACATACAGTAAACGAAAAAAATATCAGTTGATATGACACACTGTTAGTATGAACCAGCACCGAGCACACAGCTCTACATACACAAAATGATACAACAAGGGAGTTTTTGCCATTTTTGTAAATCAGAAGCACAGCAGCTAAACTTTTGTTGATGAGTTTTCTCTATTTTTGTACATTATTGTTTTCACACCAGTTGGTGTTGAGAGGTGTTTAACTTTTTTAACCATCATTACAATAACAAAGTTGATATCTCATTAAAATAATAGAATCATTTTAGCGAATTTCCCATATAGGGAATAAGCTATTACCGTAGTACTCATGGTAAGACCTGGACGCGGGACCGATTTTTTTTTTCGTTTTGAGGTCCCTAGAGGCCAAAAACACCATCCGTTCAAATTCATATATATATATATATTTATATATTTATATATTTATATATTTATATATATATATATATATATATGTGTCCGTCAGCACGATAACTCGAGCAAAAATGATCCGATTTGGATGAAATTTGGTACAAATGTGTAAACGTACGTTTATTCGAACGAGTTCGCGATCCAGCATGATCGGACCATGGGAACGGGGGTTTACGGGGGGTTTTATGGGGTAAAAATAGGTTTTTCCTATTTTTGACCCAAAAAACATAAAATTTAGCAATTTCTTTCCAAACCATTTTGTAGAGCTTAAAAAAACAAATAATTTAGTATATTGAAGCGTTATTATGTGCCCAATAGTTACGGAGAAAATTCCAAAAAATTGTAAATTTAAAATTCCCATGTTATTCTTATGGGGAATAAGTAAACTGTTGTAGTTTGCTTGTTTGTGAACATATTTTGATCAAATTTGGAAAATGTTTTTATTTCTCACTACCTATTCACATTTTACAAACAAAAAAAGTTTTACCCTCCTTGATGCAGCAAACCTAAGTACTTGTTAAACTAATTCTATTTAAATCAAGAATAAATGTTATATTTTTAAGTAGACATTTCAGTGTAAATCCAATCAGTCAAATGGAAATTCGCTTAGTCTGCAGGTTTGCTGCGGCGGGGGTATTTGTACATGTTGTTGAAGTCAAATGTATGAAATAGTTGTTTATATACCTTAAAAATACAGTATTTTACAATTTCTTTACAAATCTACTAACTTTACCACCTTTGGTGCATTCTAAAAAAATAGTTGTATTTTCCATAATCAACTCAATTACTGCCAAGGAAAGAAAGTAAACAAACCTTTATAAACGATGAAAATTCAGTAAGTAAGTTAATGGACAAAACATTATACGTCATGTTACAGGCAAATTACATAATGCAGACATTCTATAGAATGACTAGGCATAAAATGCCTGAAGCTTTTAGCTAAAGTAATTAGAATAATAACGATCGGATTTTATACATTTTGACTAGGCATTGTGTATCATGCCTATAATGCATTCTATAGAATTCCCGTAGGTGAGTCTGGCAAAGTATAGTATAAAAATATTTGTAAAATAACATGTTTAAAATGATTGATCTATTTTGTGTATGGATAGATTCAGTTGGTTAATTATACTTAATTTTAGATTAGGTTGGCTAATGGGTAATGCTAAAAAAAAGGAATGAAACTCTAAAAAAAACCTTGAAATAATAAAATATTGTGTTTAAGGTTACGTTAGTTTAGTTCATTTTAGATTAGATAAATATTAATGCCAAACAATGGTAAAATATCTAAAAATGTCCTACAAGATCGTATTTAATACTTTGCCTACAGTGGCAACAGGCATTCAATAGAATGACTGGGTTAAGTATATAATGAACTCTATTTCATACTTTGCCTGGTTCATTTTAGGCATTGTATAGAATGCCTAGTCACAATATAATATAATATATAACAATTTATATAAATTGCCTGATTATATACTTTGCATGTAACATACATAGCGAAAAAGTAAAAATCCAATGTAATGGAAATCCTGACAATAATTTAACCCGTCACTGCACACTGTGGATTTAACATGCGATGTTGGAGAATATCGAACTTCTCAAAATACAATTGTGTCTATTTCCATCTGCTCCATATCAAACTTTACTGTCTGCAATGAACCACGTAACATGATTTACAGACTCAGAGAATTTTGTGGAAGCCAATTATTTGTTTTTCATCGCCGTTTTACCATTAGGCCAACAAATTGATAAACATTTAATAGTTTAAGACTTTACGTTTCACAATTAGTTGACGATTCATATACCGTAACGGTTGTAAATAACCCAAAAGACGCTTTAAGATTTTACAATTAGATGACGTGTATAATTGTGGTTATGATAAATTTTGTTTAGCCCTAGGATTCCTTTAAATGACTAAACATGGTTAAAACATGCCTTGTCAGATATTTTTCACTTTTTCTGTCATACTGGCAGTATTCAGTGTCAAAGATGTATATGTTATCACAGCATAATAAGTCTACATGTAGTATCATAAGTCAATGTTTTATATATTGACGTTTGTAATGCAATGTATATTTTTCAACTGCAAAAAATAATAGTTATTATATTTTACAATAAAATGAAAAATATACAATATACTTGCAGCAGCGAAAGTAAATGGTTGGGCTTTCATTGAGAAAGTAAACTAAGATAGTAATTTGTATCTACTGTTATTAAGACGGCAAGAAAGCCTTAGTATTTGTCAAGCTGTTATTAACTGTTCTCAGCCTCGCAATAGATTGTGTCCAAGCAAAATTACGACGGCGGTTCTTTACAAAATCCAGATCTAA